TCTAGCGATTTCTTCGAAGAGTTGCCTATCAGTTTACCCAAGCGACCCACGAGCGGAGCATCGACGAGCAGGTATACGCCTGGTGGACGCGCTCCAAGTACCGGGGCGCCAATGGGACCTCCCCCCCCTCTGGCTCCTGGAATGGGCCGTAGTCCAAGTTATACCGGCCTTCCATCACGCCCCACATCTGTAGAGCCTGCCTATGGCTCACCACCTGTTGGCTCGCTAGGAGCAAAGCAGCCCTACGGGTCGTCTCCAGCCTTAGCTCATTCTCCATTAGCCCATGCCGCCTCCGCCTATGCTGCTCCACCCGGACCAACGACCCCTGGCTATCCACCAAAACCACCAAGTAGTGCAGGACTGTACGCATCTCCACCTAGTGCGGTTCGCGGAACATCCCCATATGCCCAACGCCCAAATGCACCTCCTGCGGCTCCAGTAAGGACATCTAGCATGTCAAGCGAAGGGCGGTACGCCCCAACCCATGGACATGAGAATGTTGGGCTAGGATTGTCCGCTCCCGAAAGCTTAGCAAACGGATATCAACCATCTGCGAGACCACCTTCAAGGGACAGACCAGGAACAATGGAGAGTATGAAAGCTCACGCGCTTGGTGGTGTGGCAGAGGAAGACGAGGAAGGGAATGCGCCTGCACGCTCGTCATTCGACAAAGGCCCGCCTCCGCCAGTCTCCAGCTTGAACCGATATAATCCTAGCAATAGGCAGACACCCCCTCCCCCAACCAACCCAGCTTTGTCACACCTCACATCACCTCCCCAAAGGTCTCAGTCCCCTGGGAAATACACGCCGGCTGGGTATCAAACCCATACCGCTACATCGTCACTCAGTTCGTCAGTACTCTCTCCAACGGACCTGCCAAATGGTTTTGCGCCCCCAAAGCGTTCAGCTACGCAGTCACCAGGATTCGCCGCCTTCAGGTCTCAAAATACACATGGAATTCAACGTCCTAGTTCCGCCGCTGCGCATGCCACCAACTATACGAATACTTATTCCCCAATTGATGCCCGTCGCCCTTCTTTCCCTATCCAATCACACCCAGCGGCAGCACCCCCGCCACCGCCACAGAACTTTATGGCACCGCCGCCTGGAAGCATCGAAGCTAGTGATCCACTAGAACGGTGGAAAGGCGCACCCTTATTCTGTTGGGGTTTCGGCGGAAATATTGTTACAATGTTCCCAGTTCATACAAGTAGATGGAATGCAGAAACAGGCCAGCAGATGATCAAAACTTCATTAGGCGAGGTTAAAAACCGTCAGGCAAAGGACGTTCTGAAGGAAGATGATTTCTTTGATGATATTGCGAAGTTTCCCGGTCCGGTATTCGGTGGTAGAACTGGAGGCAAGGGAAGAAAGAAAGAAATCTCAGCATGGATGGAGACCAAAATCTTGAAACTTGAGAGCGAGTATACTAAATTTAGAGATCCAAGGAGCATGGAAAAGGTTATCCTGTGGAAAATAGTGAAGTTATGCTTAGAAAATGATGGGATGTTGGTGGGTAAAAAGGAAGTCCAAGACGCAGTTCGGCAAATTATTAGCCCAGAAAGCGAAACGCTGGAACTTCCTCGCCCGAAAAACGCGCTCCAGCAGTCAACCGTTTTCGATAGCAATGCCTTAGAGGCAATTCGGACGCATCTTATGAAAGGAGACAGAGACGCTGCAGTATGGTTCGCAATTGAGAACAGACAATGGGCTCACGCGATTTTGATATCCTCGACCACATCTCCAGAATTGTATAAGCGTACTGTTCAAGAGTTTGTGAAACAGGAAGTTAAGAGCAGCGACGGCACCGAACAGCCAGGGATGCAAAGCTTAGCTGTTTTATACGAAGTCTTTGCAGGGAATTGGGAGGAGTCTATCGATGATCTTGTGCCTGCCAGCACGAGGATGGGCATGACAATGATTAACAAAACGGGTAGCCAAAGCGCAAACCCCCTGGAGGGCTTGGAGAAGTGGAGGGAAACTCTGGGCCTAATGCTAGGCAATCGGAGCAATAACGATATCCAGGCTATCGCGAAGCTTGGGTCACTACTTGAGAGCTATAACCGTATCGAGGCTGCTCACATTTGGTACGTCAATATGCCTTCCACATCTTCGGTTTCTTAACTAATAGGCTGCAAAGCTATCTATTCTCGATGCCAGCTGCTATTTTCTCTGGAGCAGAGGATTCAAGCAAGATTATCTTCTCTCTACTAGGCGCTAACCACGCCAACAACCCTTTCCACTACGGTCGGGATCTCGATGCTATAATCTTATCTCAAATCTACGAATACGCCCTTTCACTCATGCCTGGAGCCCCCACACTAACTAATTTCCCTCATCTATTACCGTTCAAATTATATCATGCGCAAGTCCTCGCACAATACGGCTTCAAGAACGAGGCGCAGAAATACACAGAAGCCATTTCGGCATCCTTCAAGATTAGTGGTCGACCGCAACCCTACCTCCATGTCTTACTACTAGAGGGCATCAATGAGCTCACTCAGCAACTTAGCCAAGCGCCTAGAGATAGCAGCGGTGGATCCCTCCTAAGCAATTTACCCGGCCTTGGGGTCTCAAGAGGTGGCGTCCTCGCTGGCATGCAAGGAATGCTCGATGCCCTCGTCAATGGTGGGGATCAGCAAGATACACCTGCTCCTACTAGTGTAAATGGTGGCAACGGAGTGTCTGCGCACGTACCCATACCGGAGGGCCAATTCTCGAGTCCACCTTCTACGTCAGGCTTGGATAGAGTACATAGTGGGCCAGATCTATACGGCATTAGCTCTGGAGGTTACACACCTTATAATCCCGCCCAGCCGCCTCTAGGTACTACCCCCATCGGAGCGATGAAGCCCACATCTGCTGCCGCTAGTAGATACGCGCCAAAAGCGTCGAGTGCTGGACCTTATACACCCCAAGCCCCTACCTCGGTGCCTCAACCCACGGAACCCGCAACACCTGGATACGCGGGATACGGTGGATATGAAACTACAGCCAACTATGGAGGATATGGTTATGAGCCAAGCCCACAGCCTACACCGCAGCAGACACCCCAACAACATACGGAAAAACCAGTTGAAGCGACAAACGGGTATATTGGTTACCAACCATCACCAATGCCACAAACTGCAGTGCCAATGTCACCTCCTTCATTTGACTCTGAGCCGAGTGCTTTCAGTCCCCAAGTCGCATCAGCAACTAATGATACCTCGGCTTCTACTAACACAAGTGGGTACGAGCCATCAGGATACGGTTATGAGCCCCCCACGGACTTCCAGCCCTACGTCCCATCGCCCGATAACTCGGATGACGAAGGCGAGAGTAAGAAGCCAAAGAAAAAGGGAGTCATAGACCTTGATGACGACGATGGGTTTGCAGCTGGGGCAAGCTCGGCAAAAGATTCATCTGCCGCCGCGAAAAAGAAGAAGGAGGAAGAGGAAGAAGAAAACAGGAAAATGGTTGCCGCAATCGCTCAGAAAGAAAAGGAGGAGGAAGAGAAACGCAAGAGTAAGTTACTAGTTTCGACTATCTATAAATATCCGAATTTCAAACTAACATCTTATAACAGAAGAAGCGAAGTCTGGCGGCTGGTTTGGAGGCTGGTTCGGTGGCAAGAAAGACCCTAATGGTCCTGTAGTCCATAAGGCAAAACTAGGAGAGGAGAGTTCTTTCTACTTTGACCCCGAAACGAAGAGATGGGTCAACAAAAAGGGGGGATCAACAACTGATTCTGCTGGAATCACGCCGAGCGGAACGCCGCCGCCACCAAAGAGACTCGGATCCCCCGCAATAATTGGAGGCCCCCCTAGCAGGCCTCCCAGCGGGCCACCTTCAGGCCTCGGCACTCCGCGGCCCGGAACAAGTAGCAGCATTGACAGTGGAGGCTTGAGTGTACCACGGCCACCACCCTCCGCACCGCCTACGAGCGCACCAACAAGTGCACCGACAAGTGCACCATCTGGCGGGCTTGCCCCACCAACTCCCAGTGGTCTCGCGGGTAGCAGGGACCCAAGCCCCAGTCGGCCCCCTCCAAGGCCGGCTACCACTGGTAAAGTAGACGATATGGAGGAACTGCTAAGCGGCGGCGGAGGTGCACGGAAACCGGCGGCGAAAGCGAAAGGCAGGAAGAGATATGTAGAGGTTTTGTAGATACGTTAGATTTTGCTATTTTGCTATTTTTTGCCCTCTCCTGAGCTTTTGGAAGTCGGGATATGGGACGGTGGGTGTTGTACTATGATACTTGTCTTCTCGCTTTTTCTTATTGTTTTTCTGTTTCGCTCCACGAGATCATTGACGAGACGTTATTGCCGGCTTTTTAAGGCATATGAGTGCTGTTCTTTTTAATGTAGAACTCATCGGGCATCTATTCTTGGGTTTAATATCTATCCATATTGCTCTCTAAATTCTGAATCCTCACCCGCTTTACAATACTACGAGACCATTCTTGCAAGCTTACAACAAAAATTTAAAGAATCGACCAGATGTATCAAACCTTCGTTCTACCAGACTTTTCATCAAACTTATACCTGCATAGTTACAAATCATGATCTTAAGAGTAGAGCAGAATAAAATATATTTGCTTCCGTGAATTTCTAGGCTCCTGCACTATATATATATCAAAAGTTGGCTACAGAAGCAGATTTGGAGGTAGTTGCTTTGACCGAGCTGAAAACAAGGATCACGGATCCCCAAAAATCTGAATTAAAGTGGCACAACGTTACAGTATGTGCGTGGAAATATATATTTAAATTTTTTCTCCAAGTTTTATTTTAGTATTTTGATATTAGCTAGTTAACTCGTCGATAGGACGAGCATCAACATAGCATACTTAAGCATGAACACGACGGCCTGCGCATGCCACTAGGAGCAACATATCTGAAGAAACCATACAAATAAATGCCTATGTATACACCTGCACACTGGCCCAAAAACATAAAGACAAAAAAAAAAGCCCCAAAATACAGGGAATAAAAAGTTAGGAGTAACCTTAGCTACTCGCACGGCCCCGATAGGACTCGAACCTATACCGTCCCGCTCGAGGGTGGATAGAGTTATATGGGAAGTGCATCCAATTACACTACGGGTCCTGGCTGACTGACGATATGTTCACTGTCTAGTCCGCTATAAAGTGGAATTGCTACCTAATCCGGCAGTGCCCCACCCGGACTAGGAATTCACGCCAGAAAATCGGCATGGGTAGAGTCGATTTCATCAGGAACTCAGGCATGCCTAGTGGACATCAGAAATGATTCAATAAGGGAAGTCTATGAGGGGTTGTGAGGAGGGGTTATAAATTTCTGCTTGATTAGTGCCATCCGTTCAGCTTTAAATTGACATGACTGTTGACAGCTGTCAGGATACTGTCAACGTACATATACGCACCGGTTAACCCAGTTAAACCTGGCTGTCTTCTTTTCATTTCATAAGGGCATGAGATAAATTCTTGTTACCTACATTTTTCACTTCGATTTATACCGCAGCTATGCTTGACACCGCGTCCATTCGGTCGAGCAATGAACACGGGGTCGCCCAATACCTTCGACAACTCGCTGGTGAAGGGGATGTTGAAAATACCACACAACAACTCATCGATGCCGTTGAGAGGTCCTCCATCCCGCCTTCGACTCTGAAGATATGGTTGAGCATATCGCATACACCGGCCGTATTAAAAAGGGCACTGGAACAGGATATCTCGGTCCGTATCCGCAAAATTGCCATCGAGCAATTTGAAAAACTACTTAGGTCCCGCAAGTGGAAAGAAACTTGGGATAGCCTCGGGGCTGTAGAAGGGCTCACAGGTCTTTTGCGAAGCCTCTCAGCTTCTGATGTTCAAGACGCATGCCGCGCAATTGGTTCCAGCACAAAGGGGGCAGATTTAGAGAAGAGGGAGGCAATCACAGACCTTTTCCTAGCCCTTAAAACTCAGACTTCGGATACGCGTCCGCTCGCCAACTGTTATCAATATCTCCTACCCGCATGCACGAAAGATCGTGTTGCTAGGGTGGTGAATTCGGATTTACCAGAGGGCAACCATCGTCAACAGGATCTTCTCTTACGGAATCACAGCGACATCCTAAGGGGTAATTTTGTTGAAATGGTCCTTGACTATGAAGGGCTCAACAGTCCTTGGCTCTTCGCGTTGATGCGGGAGTATCCAGCTGTTCCCGGGGCCAAGCCAAATTTATCTTCGTCAATGGAGTTTTCCCTAGAGGTACTCAGAAAATTAGTACACAGTGGCCAGGTCTCTCAGATCTCCGACGAAGCTTTCGTCTACGAAATTTCGGATCCTCTGCTTACGCGATGTGTCAAAAAACACACGGACACCGAGATCCTCAAGGAAGCCGTCGCTTTGATCGTTCAATATATCAAGCTTCACCCATCAGTAGCAAACACTATTTGGAACTTTCAACCCGACTATTACAATACCTCCAGAAAGCCTAAGAAGGATAAAGTTTTCGAAAAAATTGCGGGTTGGTGGTTGCAAATGCCCGAAACCTTTGAAGAGTTGTTCCAGTTACTCTTGGTCAGGGTAAACCCAGGTCCCTCTGGGCAAAAAGTCAACATTCGTGTATTCGACCCTTTGATCAAGAATTTCACTTCAAAGCACCGGTATGGGCTTCTCAAATTTTGTATCCAATCTTCGGTTCTAAGGGAGGATGAACCCGAGATCACTTTCGACGAAGCCCTCGTGCGGACGGTCGGTTTCTTGGATTCCGAACTGCTTCCAGCTTTGAACGCTGAAGAAACACTTGACCTATTCCTGCGGCTGCGCAAAGCAAGAGGCGATGGAATTGCCGGTACGCACTATGTCGGGGCTCACTGCAACTTTTTCACACTTGGAAAGGAGAATGACATTGAAGGCGACCAGTATCTACCTATCGATTTGGATTTATGGCAAGTCCATTTTCTTCAAAAAGCTTCCCGACAAGAGGAAGCAGAGGAACTAGCAAAACTACGCATTGAAGAGCGGAAAAAGGCACACTCGACCCCAGATGGACAACTTCGCTCTCTCCATTCAAGGGGCGTTTTGCTTTATGCAGCCGCCAGTGGTTCCCTATCACTCCTAGGTGATGTCGTCAATTGGACAAGGCGCTTGACTCGAGACCCTCACGTCGCGCCATATCTCAATGAGCCCCCAGAAATGCACAAATTGTTAACCGGTTTACTGCTACCGATTGGAACCGATGCTTCGGTGCTTCGTAAAGGAGTCGAGCATGCCAACCAGATTATAAGCACTATAATCGACATCATTTGTTCGGGATCAAAAGATCCAGCTTTCACCGCCAGTAACTGGAGAGGAGTTTTTAGAATCCCCCATTTTGTCATTTCGGAACGCATCAACCGCTCAGCCCTCTTGAAAGAACACTTTTCCGACGAAGATGTTTACAGCATTTTGTGGGAGGACACTCTACGGATGATCCTAGACCTCGAGCAAAAAGTAATCGACGATAAGCAACTACAGAATTCAGGCTGCGCATGGGGGGTCTGTCATATTGCGGGCAGGGTAGGGCAACCTCTGAGAGTTGACAGCAGAAAGGCGCATGTCTCGGCCTATCGTTTTCTCGATAATCTAGCAAAAGAACGGAATGAGCTATGGCGAAAACGTCGAATATCAAAATGCCCTGAAGTCGCAAATCTACCTGAACCATATCCCCAGGGCCTTCCTATACAATACCTTATCGGAGCTTTCGACCTAGACCTTGCCCCTCTACTAGATGACGTAGCCCCGTACATCGCATCACGGGTGAAATCCGCCGTCTTCCCCACGCCAGATCAAAGCCGAGAACTCGTTTCGGCAAGAGTTGATCTATTACGGGATCCTTTGGGTCTTTTCTTTGAAGATTACCGATATGCATTAGAACTATACCTAACAAGAGCCGCCCCAGAGAAAGAAAGAAAGGACAGACTTGATTCCGCATGGGCCTATGCCGTCGGCCCTTTGAGCGAGGGACGATTGGACACCCAACAAGCAATCCGCTACTGGAGGGGCTGCTTCAACCGAGCTCTATACCCCAAAGTTAAAAAAGTATTTTTACCAGTGTATAGTGAAAAGCAGGAAAAGATCCCTGAAGCAGACTTAGAATGGCTCAAGAACCTTTCTCCCGAACCCGAACCCGAGCCTCTCAAAATCCCGAGTCAAGATGATTCTGCTAGTATTCAAGAATGGGATGCCAGCCCAGAGTACAAAGAAGATATCGAGGTTTATGAGCTTGGCGAGTTAACTTACATTGATGTTTCCATCAATCCTCGAACCCAGTCTGTACTTGGACGTATCTCCGGCTCCTGTAACGAAGATGAACCCATCGAACTTCCAGTCCCAAAAACAACAGGGAAGATCTTTTGGTATAATACAACCTGGACTCGAGCCGGGAATAACAAAGTCAAATCCGCCTTTCAGCAACAAGAGGCCCAAATCCTATCGGCCCTATTATACCTACAGACCAAAACGCAGTCTCCAGAGCAGCTCCTTGCCTCCCCATTCCCATCGACTGACGATGTGCGATACCCATCAATCAGCTTGAGCACGGGATGCCTATCAATATTAAGCACAGTAGAAACAGGTGTTCAAGAGGCAGTAGCACCTTCGCGGAAACGAAGGCGCAGAGGATATGTAAAGATCTTCCCAAAGACATCAAAAGACCTGAGCCCTAATACCAAGGCGGCATTCAAAGCCCTTGAAGCCCAGATCAGCTTTGTACCCCCCGTACTGGTCCTCAAGCTAGTTGAAAATGCCTTCTCTAGCCTTGATTCGACGGACCCAGACGACCCAGACGGGGGTTATCCGGCCCTAGAATCTTTGGCGTTCAATCTTTTAAGGCTTCTGGCAAGAAGCGATAGGCCTAAACTGGCATTACAGCTTGCGATCAAAGTTATTTCGAAATATCCTGCTGCTCCGTTCTGGTTCAAGTCTGTTATTACATTGGGGTTTTTCCGCGACCTCACTCCGAAGGACGCAAGCGAAGGGATGTCAACATTCGCAGAAACAGTCTTCAAGTTATTAAGCCAGATGGGGGAGCCAAAGGCGTCTAAAGATTCGAAACCTGTGGAAGAAAAGCCTTCAACTGATACTACCTCTGGAGATGATATCAAAGATCCTGTGGAGCAGAAACCTTCGACAGAAGCTACCTCCTGGGACGATATTCAAACCCCCTCGCAACAGTATCTTTCAACAAATGCTACCTCTTGGGATGCAGTTACCGATCCTGTAGGACAAGTAGTTTCAGCAAATGCGACCTCTTGGGACCAAAACGATTGGGCAGGAGCCTCTTGGGATGCTACCCCCGACCCCCCAGCAGAGGAAGCAAAACCCAAGCCAGCGGACGTCGACAACGAACCCAGCTTCGTCAAAGTCTCCACCATAAAATTGCTAATCGAGCTCTTCGAAGATGCGGACTTCATACCCAAGTCATCATCACTATCGAATATCCACACCCTGTGCAAATCAACTTCAAACATCGACGTCCACAAAACAGTGGTGTACTATCTAATCCGAGGCCTAAGATCTCCTCGCCCTCTCGAGGCAGAATTCTTCTCAATCATCTCTACCCTTGTTGAAAAGAACTCAGACGTTGACCTCTATAAACTGATCCTCGACCTCTTCAACCTCGCCCTCAAGCTATCAAAACTCGACAACGAAAACCAATCTTTGTTACTCTCCATGGTGGTGAAGATTTCTAAGGGGAATTTGAATGTCAAACTCCAAAATTCACTAGTAGAATACCTCCTTCGCGTACTAGAAAGCTCTGCGCCCAAAGGCTACGACCAAATCTTAGCCGTTCTCAGAGACCTCGTTTCCAGCTGTGGCAATATCAACGAATCCGAGCCGGTCACAGAAGACCAATGGAAAGTCTTCGAAGAAACCACAGAGCTACCGGACTACGACCTCCAGAGAACAACCGACTACAAAAATAATCCAATCCTACTAAGGCTCCTCGAGTTCTACAACGAAATTCTAGAAACCCCAAGCTTGAATATCGCTTTCACAGAAAGAATCATGATCCCCATCATTCAGGAGCTCAACTTCCAAACATCCAGGTACTTCTCCATCTTCCTTCAGCAAAACGGCATCACCAAGGCCGAACAAGAA